TAACCCTATCTCTCATTTATTAACAATCACTGCGGTTTTTTCCGATTTCTTTCCCTTTTATAACTTCGGTTTTTATTTTATTTATTTTTTTATCTTATTTCTAAACGTTTCTATTCTAAATTACTCTAGGTTAAAGCCCCTACATTTACATTTTTTTGGGCAGGTGCTTTACTCCTTATTACCAGCTATTCATAATTTAATGTTAATACCCACCTGCCCCGTCGGCGAAATTGGCGCCCGCCAGAAGCCGACGCTAAACCATCAAACTCGTCGTCGTCATGTTCCATTATGCTTGACGGTACAAGAATCTGTATCGAAACGTCGCACTCACGAATAAAAGAAGTTGTTATCCATAAAGTTTGTTCTATATAGCAAATTGGCTGTCAGAAAATCACGGTTACGACATACACAATCATTGGTATATAGAATGAAAAGCAAGGGCGATATGACACAGCCCTGAGGTGCTCCAGTATTAGTGTACATTGTTGATGAGTTTGTCTGATTCACGTATTGGGGTCGGTTCATCAAGAATTGCTCAATCTACAGTAAAAGGTTCCGGTTCACATTCATGGATAAAAGTTTTTGCTGTAAAATGTGTGGTTAAATAGTGTTCAAAACAGAGGAAAAATCAATAAAAGAAGTCTAACATAAGATTTGGGGGGTTCTAAATGTTTGTAAAAACTGTTTAAAATAGCTACTTTAGCATCTTCTACACTCGTTGTGATCTATATGCAAATTGAAGAGGGTCAAGGAGCTGTCCACCCATAGATATCAGAGTACATGTGTATTTAGCATGATCCTCTCAAAACACTTCATGGCTATGGACGCGAGGGCAGCTGGACGGAAGTCGTTCAGTACAGATGGGTTGCTTTTCTTAGGCACGGCGATGACTTTTGAGGTATACCATATTGTTGGTATGATATGCTGATGAGAGTTGAAAAAGTCGCCTAAAACATGGCACAACTCATCACAACATCGTTTGAGGATAATTCCATCCAGCCCATTAGGTCCTGATGCCTTCCGTATATTCAGCTTGGAAAACTGGGTTTTGACTATCTCTTGTGTAATAGTGATAGCGCGCTCATTGTCCGGTATGATACCGTCTATGACGGTTTTGCGCTGGTCGGTAAAGTCAAAGGTATCGAATTGTGAATAAAACTGGTTTAGATCTTCAGCGTATTTCCGGTCGTCTTCTACGTTGATATGTGATGGCTTGTTCTGCAGACCGATCATGGTCTTCACTCCTTTCGACGCCTGACGACTGTTGGTCTGGTAGAATTGTCGCTCCAATTTGTGTTTATAGTCTTCTTCACTTGCACATTAATGTCTCTTTGAATGGGCTTCAGTTTGGATTTATCATTAGTACAACAGGCTCTTTTCTTGTCACTAAGCATGACTTTTAATTCCTTCGTCGCCCAGGGTTTGTTGTTAATATATATTGTTATTTCCTTCTTCGGGGTGATTGAGTCTACACAGAAAGTTATGTAATCAGTTATAGCACCGGGGTCAGATGAGTTATCGCAAAATACGTCCAAATCAGTACATTCAAAATAACCCTGTAATTTCTTGACTGAATCCGTGTCCCATGATAGTACCGTCTTCTTAACTTCTGGTTCGCGCTTCAGTCTCTGTGTATATACTGGAACAAGGTCAACACAGTTATGGTCTGACGAACCAAGAGGAGCTTTTGATTTCCCAGTGTAGGCATCTTTGATATTGCCGTAGCATAAGTCGACGGTTTTCTGTTGACGTGGGGGACATTTGACATACTGCTGATAGTGAGGCATAACTGTTCAGTCAATCAATCAATGTTTTATTATCGTCTCACTTGTGTACTTGTTACAGTTCATAAATTATGTACAAAGTTATAAATATACACAACTAATCGACCAGCGATTTACAAGTGACAAAAAAATGTAAATACTAAAACATTATAAGAATATGACATAAACGTATCTAAAAGATAAGACATTAAAATTTACACATAATAAAAGGGATACCAATTAAAAGTTTAGGTATATAAAATACTCCTTCGTTTAAAAAGTATATTATGGCAGGTTCTGGAGGTGTGAAAGACTAAATTCGGGTGTCCTAGAATATTACTAAAAAAATGGCTGGTTGGCAGGTAATCTAGGTCTGGCCAGTTTTCTTTGCTGGCATCGACGAGATCCTTCCGTTCTTCGTTGTAAAGCGGACAGGTTAAAAGCACATGTATCTCGTCCTCTGTACCGTCTATATGTGGAAACAGAGTCTCTCATCTAGGTGAATATTTTTGTAACGTCCTGTTTCCACTCTCAGCGGCGCTACTCCACATCTAAACTTTAGACACAAGGTTCCGTTGTGTAGTTGTGTTTGGACATTCTGTAAGTTCTGAGTTTGTTTCTGCTGGCACCAATGGTTCCCATGTCAGCCTTGACCTTTGCCTCCCACGATGCTGTAACGTAGTTCTACGGACCAGTTTGGCTAAAAGCTTCGTCTCCACTGAATGCCAAGATTATGTATAAAGTTCAAGTCTCGAAGATGCGTTCTTATTCTAAAATTCCAATTCTTTTTCGTTGCAGTATCTGCCCACGTAAACACCCTCTAGTTAATTCTTCTTGGACTTGCGTTTTTCATTGTTGCCCAGTGTCAAACCGCGCTTGTCCTCTGTCGTACTTTGGGGGAAATCCACCCGGAGTCACCATTTACAGCAAGATTTGGCGCGTACTTCCCCAATCCGAGATGGAACCTCATAGCTGGTGTACAGCGTTGACTGGAGAATGGTTTGAGGTATCCCATATAGCGGATCCATAGCCCATGACTGGCCATACCATAGTGTCTCACAGCTTCGTATAAACGTTGGCAGGTAGACCTCTTATTGCCTTGTATTTCGCAATGAACAATCCGAGTGCTTCGCCGCTGTTTTCGCCGTTGTGCTGTTGTTTAAATGTTCACTAAGAAGCACCTCAAGATAGTGGTAAGAGTCCGGCATGGCAAGTACATCACCTCCACATGAGAATACAACATCTGTTGTTGGTGTCGATTGTCCTCTAACATGTACTACTTTCCTCTTCTCCATGTTGGTATTCATCTTTTACTTGATACACCATTCCCAAGACAGCTGAGTAAAATGTTCTCCATATTCTCCATGGCGGAGTCAATGCTCCATTCGTGTCGCCATTTGCACATACTAAAAACACTGGTGTCCTGCGAGTAAAACTCTTCTGCTGTATCTGCCAGCAACGCCACATTATCTGCGTACGCTAGGATGCTTAAACATTACTTCTTTGAACATCAGACCTCAGAATCTAAACTAGACTCAAAATCAGATCACATCAAAGACAATCCCGACCACCTTGAGGGGAGCAAGGGAGGCGCAGAGAGGCAGAGGTCGGGTTGAGGGACAAGCGGTGTTAGTTAGCTGGCAGGCGAGTGACCTTGACCTTGGCAGTGTGGGCTTGTGACGGGTTGTTTACATTTAGCGAGAGGGAAGAGCGAGCGTGGCGTGTGCAGAGTAGGGATAAATGAAATTGAGAGCCGTGTCTGAAGTTGTAGGGAGGAAGAATGGATAATCGAGGTTTGAACGGCTGGCCTGAATGTTGCAGTAAGTGGGAGGTGAGAGAGGTGGCTGTAGTTTGTTTAATGAGTTTTAGATTCTTTTTAGAAGGTTTGAGTTTTGTAGGAATAATGTTAGGGCGTTGAAGATACTTGTTGGGTTGTGGGGGGTTGAGGAGTAGTGGGATGTTATTGTGATATTTAGAGGGAATGCTGTTTTGTAGTTGCTTAATGTTTGTCTTTTGTAGCCGGCAGTGTATGAGTATGTGATTTATGTCTTCTTGGGTATTACAGTGTGTAACGAACGAAATTTGAGGTTTTACGTCGGCTTTTAGCGTGGCCAGTGTCGCCGACGGGGTAGGTGGGGTTGATATATAAATTAATTAATAATGTAGTAATAGGGATAAACCACCATACCCAAAAAAAGGAGGTGGAGGTGAGTATAAAATAAGTGTATAGCATGTTGGGGGGATATGTTATGGTGGTACAGTTAGGCTGTACTTATTTTAATAAAATGGGACCTAGTAAAGAAAGAAAAAGGGTTGTAACGGGTGGGGGTGGGGGTCACAGTGTGTAACAGCCAACCTCAAAGACTATATACTCAGGAAACTCCAAGAAGCCATTTACATCAAAAGACTCCAGCCATCAATCAACCGTGACCAAGGTTACTACATACCTCCTGCGTACTATCAGCTCATTAAAGATCCCCATCATCGATAATCCCCCATTTATGTATACAACGCATATCCACATAATCACCTATTTATGTATACCACAGGCTTCACTTCCCATTGTGTACTTTGCAGACTTCATTTGTTAGCTCCTTCATCTAAGCCCTTGTGCTGTTATTGTGTCTGGTTTCCTTATCCCTATTGTACTGTACAAACATCTTCTCTAACTTGTATATATGCTCCTTCATCCTTATGCTGTTCTTCACTTGCTTGATAACGGTGTTAGAACCTACACCGAAACGTCGCTCTCACAGCAATAAAGAAGTTGTTCATCCATATATTGTTATCCTTCCTTGATGCTTAAACACTCGTCTTCTATAGAAACACCAACCCCTAGCGCATTCACAGTCTTGATCAGGTCGTAAAGGTTAAAATATAGAGGAGATAAAATACAGCCTTGTTTTAGCCTCCTATTGGAATCGAACCATGCCGTTTTTAAATGACTGACTTGTACTGCACACTTGACATGCTAATATAATGACTGGATAGCTGCAAACATCCTCCCGTTGACGCCACTTTCTGTCAATCTTTCCCAAAGTAATTGTCTGTCTATTCTGCCATAGGCCTTCCTAAAGTCGACAATGCAGCAAAGGTGGGCTTTCTAACTAGCCTCCGGGTCTCAATGATGCTTGTATTTGAGCCAATATGATCTCCCGCGTCGAAAACCATTTTGCTTATTACAGAGAATATCATCCTCCTAGCCCCTCCAACACACAACAGATAACATAAAACACATTGGATGGCTATGCTGTGCACCACCGCGGTTTATTGCGTGAAAGAAGGGTGTATATATGTACTAGCCTGAAAGGAAGCAGGCGACAAGCCTCTCAGAGACACTGACAAACCTATATAACTGGCAACGAACCTCTCATGTGGCGCTAAGCCTAGCAGACGGCGACAAGCCTTAAACGTCACAAAGCATGGTCGACGGAGACAAGCTTCTCAACTGGCGACAAGCCTCTTTTGACACCAAGCATGGCCGATGGCGACCAGCTTCTCAGTCGTCACCAAGCATGGCAGACGGCGACAAGCCTCTCTGTCGGCACCAAGCATGGCAGACGGCGACAAGCCTCTCTGTCGGCACCAAGCATGGCAGACGGCGACCAGCCTCTCTGTCGGCACCAAGCATGGCAACGGCGACAAGCCTCTCAGGGTGGCGACAAGCCTCTCAGGGTGGCGACAAGCCTCTCAATTGCAACCAGCCTCTATCGGCACCAAGCATTGCCGACGGCGACAAACCCCACAAACGGCGACGAGCCTCTGCAATAGCTACGATCCTGCAGACAGCGACGAGCTTCTCTCATGGCGACAAGCCATATATTGACCTGAAACATTTAGAATGGGTTAAAGTACAATATCAAAACCTTTTGCAAATATCATACGCCTTATATACTCTCATTAGGCGTCACCTACGACTGAATTAACCCCTTTGTTGTATTCCCAGTCGCTAGGAAAAAGTGATATATATCTCATTCGTCCCACAAGCTAGAAAAATATCATTTCTCCTAACCCCTCCAACACAATAGAACAAATAACATGACACACATTAGATGGCTATGTTGTGCACCACCGCGAGACCCTAAAAACGGGCAAAACTAGAGGCCAAGTGACTGCGTCTCTATATAATCTTTGCCATAATCGTCTTTAGAGCTCTCGCGCTTCTATCTGCCATGCCTCTTAAACATCCTGTCCGGTATGCCACTGTTAGCAGCCGCACCACCAACACGCAAACTGTGCAACCCGTACTGCTCAATATAAGACACGAATGGAGAAAACGTTTCAATAAACAACTCTCTCAAACGAGAATAAGTCATAGCCCTATCTTCTTTTCTGAGGCACTTGGAAATGTTCCTATACCAGTACTCTTGTGATTCTTCGGGAAACTGCGTTAACGCCAGATACTTCTCCAACCATGCACATGACGGGACACATCTTGGTACCTGTCCTGCTGATCAATAACCACCCCACATCTCTATACATATCAGTCATTGATTTCTCAATGAAAACCGTCATACAAGCTTCATAAATCAAAATAACAGTGCGTCTCAAACTCAGCAACTCTGCAGATCTCAGAAAACCTGCATAGACAAGCAGGCACATTGACACAATGTGGACATCTTTCAAACACTCTGTATCCGAATAAAAATCAACCAAACTTTCTAATATATCGATAGATATAAGTTCTTTTTTACACACTGGTTTAGCCAATTTGCTCTTTGCAGCCTCCAACACATTTCTCACCTGAAGATTATCAGTAGGACTGGGTAAGCCTATAATACTATGAGCATGACGAATGCTATAAAAAGCCGCATGTACGGGCGAGAAAGAGTGGCTTAGTTGCATCACAGAAACTAGGTAATATGGCACAATGTAAAGGTTTAACAGGAAAATAACAGGCATATCATTACTTCTCGCCCACTTTAACTACCTCTGAATTCCCTAATCATACATCTCAGCTCGTGCAGAAGTTCTGGAATTCTACTAACTCTCTGCATGGCCCTGAAAGGCTATGAATGTCACCAGCGTAAGCAATCTCAAAGACATCTGCAAAGAGAATAAGTCAATGAGTATTTCATATTGATTGCCAACATGTCAAAGGTTAAGTCTCTCTCACCAAACATAACCCCTGGAATCAGACTGGGTACATAAGCTTCCTTGTCTCTGGGTCAATACACGTAATCAAGCACTTCAGGTATGACAGTTCCCTTCGGACTGAACAGTGGCCAGTAACTGGCAGAGTAACACGCAGGTACAACCAAATAACCTTTAACTTTGCAAACCTTCACATGAGCTAGAACTCTACAAACAAGATACACAGGTGGCACAGTCCATTTGGTTGTATCACACAATGCTCAGTGAATGCATCTATTGCAACACATCCTTGATCCCAGAATCTTGAACAGAAAGTTCACACTTTTGCTTTGTAATGAGAAGCAAATCTGTCGACATCATATCTTCTCATCATCTTCTCGAGATTTATAAAAAATATAATGCGAAATTCCCCAATCATCGTGATCAATTTTCTTAGTTCTTAGTGACGCAACGTTACAGTCGCCGAACACAAGCTTAGGAGCCTCGGGTGATATTGATTCAAGCTTTGCACGTGATTGTAGATGACATCGTAGTTATTGTTAGCACTAGGTGGGATACATGTGAGAATCGTGAATGTCTGCCCGAACTCACGGGGAAGATGAGATGGCCGCAATGCATATCTTCTCTCGTACCACAATGTTCTTACACCATGTTTGATGAACATATATACATACTCCGCCTCCTATGGATTTATCAGTCTTCTCTTCACTCATGTCTAGGTGAGGCAAAAGTTGGCACAATCAAACTGTCGCTGCTCATGGCGTCATTGAGCCAGGTTTCAGTGAAACGTAACATACAGCTATCTCTGAATTCGTACATATATCGTGTGCATGCATCAACTTCATCAATCTTGTTCCGAACAGATCACATTAGATACGATTGTTTGGAGCGGTGGTCTCGACTTACGAGCTCTCACATGTCGTCTTACACCTCCTCGCTTACCTCTGTTCTGTGTTTATTGTCATAGTTTGATCTTCCGCCCTAAGAGTTGCCCAGCACACATTCCTGTGGTAGATCCAGATTGAAATCCAGCCTTGTTCAAAGCACTTCCTCTGAGCGAGACAAGCTCATCGTATTCGTAGCGAAGTATAGGCCTGACACTATGGTGTCCATCACGACTGGCCTATGGACGGTTGACCATTCTGAGCGGCCAAGCTACTTATTCAAGAAATATCGTGATAAATATACAACCTGTATATTGTCTGGGGTAAGGCCAAGAAAAATTCCGATGTTTCACGTCAATGTGTTGTGATGTTTTGCAGGCCTGTTGTCTGATGGTTATAAAATTGAAAAGCAATTATTTTGTAATATTGTTTTGAGCCATCTGGAATAAATATAGACTTGAAAATTGTTTTGAAATATGCATAATATATACTGATTAAAAAAAACACTTCACAATTCATTCTTGTAAATAAAAAATATGAATTGTTATAGTAGACAGTTTTCGGGTATCATAATATTAATCCTCAGGTATCAACTCAAGAAAAATCGCACCACAGAACAGTCAATCCAAACATCGTGCACCCCACAATATTAGCGCTAAAATGTCGGCATGCTGGAAGCGGTAACGTCAGTAAGTGACGTTGCAAGGACAATGGGGTGCAGCCGTCGGACTGTTTATGATTTACAGACACTGCAACACATTGGTAACACTGCTGGGCGCTAGGCCTGGTCGACCACGTGTGACGTCACAGACGGAGGTCAAATTGTGTTACGTCACCTTCGTAACCGAATGACTCAGAGAGACTGGAATCGAGTTGTCTTCAGTGATGAATCAAGATTTACCCTGTGGAGGCTACACCGTGAACGTTATACTTAGTGTTGTGTACAGGAAATTGACAGATTTGGGCGGAAGTTCATGGTTTTGGGTGCTTTCTGTGGGATTGCCCGTTCCCGACTCTGGTTATCCGTGGGAACCTTAATGCTGCTGGTTACTGCGACCAGGTGCTAGCACCCGAACTTATTCCATTAATGGTAGCACATGGTCGAGGCCTGCATTTTTAACATGATAATGCCAGACCCCATACAGCCATCTTGACCAGGAATTACCAGCAGAACGCAGGAATCAACGTTCCTGAGCCGTCACGGTCACCCCATCACAATCGACATAAACTAACCTGACGATAGACGGAAGAATTATATTTTACGAGCGTTTCAATCACCATCTGAATCACCCGCTGATGGGATGGTCAAATGTGTCCATCACAGCTCCATCATGCAGGTCGACCTGATCGAAATTACAGGCCAATACCTACAGGTCAATACCGTCATATAATCTGAAAAACATACTATATGTTTTACAAAGGGAAACATGATATAGTTTTGGATTTTAGCATGTAAGCGAGAGTTATCTTCTCCCTCACAGACAACAGGACGATAACTTTAAATGTGCCAAGAATAATACTCAATGTTAATGTAACCGGAGTGGTTTGGTATATGTCACAATGGCAAATAGTTTCTGTAGATGTCAGTTTTAAGCCCTGTGAAAAATAAATACATTGCATCAAAATACGCTACAACACTTCATGGGCCAATACATGTGAGGCTTAGCAGTAAGTACCACGATCATATATAATCAATACAATCATTACGGATTAACAGTAAGTACCACAATCATATATAATCAATACAATCATTACGGATTAACAGTAAGTACTACGATCATATATAATCAATACAATCATTACGGATTAACAGTAAGTACTACGATCATATATAATCAATACAATCATTACGGATTAACAGTAAGTACCACGATCATATATAATCAATACAATCATTACGGATTAACAGTAAGTACTACGATCATATATACTAGTAATCAATACAATCATTACGGATTAACAGTAAGTACTACGATCATATATAATAGTAATCAATTACGGATTAACAGTAAGTACTACGATCATATATAATCAATACAATCATTACGGATTAACAGTAAGTACTACGATCATATATAATCAATACAATCATTACTGATCAATGAGGTCACAGAGCAGACATGTGTGTATATATGTATATAATGTTTATATTTCAAGATACACGTGTAGCACGACATAACATAACATCACATAACATAATATGAAAATACCCTCACCGAGTGTATGACACTGTGCCCGTTACCGTCACAAACGCCAGGAACTATGTTTGCCATATCTGAACATAAACATATGTAAATCCAATAATATATAACGTTCTACATCTGTACATTATCACTCTACTGTACATAAAATATCTGTTCCAATAACCCATCTCATCATACATACATTCATTCATACATGCAAAGTTTATAGAAGTAGATGTACACATTATGTTTACCTACACAATAATTTATAAGTTAGGTAACATCCTCGTGGAAAATGTTATTTAGGATTACCAACAATAAACTTACATATGTAAAGTATTGCTAAGGCCTAGTTATGCTACATATTACAAATAGTTGATTTGGTTTATATTTACCACACATAATATGATACATGCTTTAAAGGAAGCTAAGAAATAATACATACACACTAAACATGAAAATATACAATATACAATCCAAAAATATTCTAACCTGTTAGAAACTGTTGAGAACGATGTCCAGTGACAGACAAGTGAAAATGGTAGCTGACCCACAGAACACCCTGCTGTTGAATATAAGGGGCCTGGGGCTGGGGCAAGACAATAGAGACAATAGACAATGTAAGCGCAGGGGTGACAGTGCTATTGTGAAAGTGAAGCAGGTTAGATTGAGTGTTTAAGCTAGGGCTAGACTTAGTGATTAAAATACAAATTAAAAAAACAGCTGCATATATATACATAATGGCATACTCCTACATTAACATACAAGAAAAACACCAAGACAAACGAACCGAGAATAATGCTCAATGTTAACATATAAGACAAACACACAGACAAATATTCCAAGAATAATTCTCAATGTTGACACGCAAGACAAACACACAGACAAACATACCAAGAATAATTATCTGTTTTAACATGCAAGACAATCACACAGACAAGCATACCAAGAATAATACTCTGTATTAAAATGCAAGACAATCACACAGACAAACATAACAAGAATAATACTCTGTGTTAACATACAAGACAAACACACAGACAAACATACCATTTGAAAAATGTATATTTAAATATGTCTTTAACTTCATGAGAGATAACAATTGCCTCTCAAAAGTACAATCTGGATTCATGCCAGGAGACTCAACAGCTTACCAACTCACGCATTTGTATAACTTTATTGCTAAAGCTATAGACAACGGAAAAGAAGTAAAAGCTGTATTCTGCGATATAAGCAAGGCATTTGATAAAGTTTGGCACAAAGGGATTATCCATAAACTAAAATCATGTGGGATAGATGGGAAGTTACTGAAATGGTTTGGAAGTTATTTGCAAAATAGAATGCAAAGAGTAGTTATCCAAGGTTACAAATCAGAATTAAAACCGATAATAGCCGGAGTGCCCCAAGGATCAGTCCTTGGACCTCTTTTATTCTTAATATACATAAACGACATAGTTGATGGAATCGAAAGTAATATACGCCTTTTCGCAGACGACACATCACTCTATGTAATAATCGACGATCCCCATACGAGTGCATTTATTCTTAACTCAGATTTAGACAGAATATCTAAATGGGCGGAAACCTGGCAAGTAAAATTTAATCCAAACAAAACTGAAACTATCCAGTTTTCACACAAAACGAAAACTTCTAAGAAACCTCCCCTCTCGATGAATGGTACGCCTATAAATGAAGAGCAGATTCATAAACACCTAGGCATTATTTTTCAGGAAACCTCCTCTGGCATTCCCACATTAATGAAATGATAAGGAAAATTAGCCCTATGATTAACTGCCTTCGTAGTTTTAAATATAGACTATCACGCAAAACTCTCGAAACAATGTATAAATCCTTTATCTTACCTCTATTTGACTATTGCTGTCATCTCTGGGACAATTGTACAAAGGAACACTAGAAAACCTTCACTTAGATGCCTTACGCACAATATGCGGTGCAGTTAGAGGTAAAGCCATGCGAAACTATATCATGAGACAAACATGACTTCCTTATCGAAACGGAGAGAAACTTTTAAATTAACATTATTTTACAAAATGGTAAACCATATGGTTCCTGACTATCTTTGTGATCTTGCTCCAGGGAATGTTTCTGATAACAGTAACTAAAATCTTAGGAATAATGAAACTTATCAGACTATAAGAAGCAAATCTGCTTATTACGCCAAATCGTTTTTGCCCGATACAATTAAACTGTGGAATGACCCACCTACAAATGCTACAAACGCGTCCTCTGTTGGACAGTTTAAGAATTCAATCACACCACAAGTTAATACCAACACAATGTTCGATCTAAATTTTGGTAGTCGATTTTGTCAAATAATACACTGCCGCCTTAGGTTGGGATGCAGTGACTTAATCAGTGATAAGTATAATCGTTTCATTTCTGATAATGCTTTTTGTTCCTGCTCACAAGATTATGAGGATGTATTCCACTATTTTTTCATGTGTCCTAAATATAATACCACTCGATACGAATCGTATTTCTATGTGAAAGGGTTCTCCCTGCGGGATGTGCTAAATGGCAATAACTCAGTATCTCATCAGACGAATATGGATATTCTACGGTCAGTCCATCAATTCATTATTACATCAAAACGTTTTGATTCATAAAGTTTTGTAGCTTCTCTTATTTTTTTTTTATTTGTATCAACTGGCCACGAAACTGAACCAAGATAAATTGTTGATATCCATGATTGTTATTATTCAGAGATAAATTGTTGATATCCATGATTGTTTATTATTCAGAGATAACTTGATATAACCACTATAAATATGTATTATGCACAAATGTGAACCTTCACATGTATGATGGAGCGGCATTAATATAAGCCATTTAGGCTTGTTTGCCAATCCTTTTCTTGCTTCTTGAATAGAATAAAATATGTTTAAACCACCACAAACATACCGTGAATAATACTCAGTGTTAACATACAAGACAATCACACAGACAAACATACCAAGAATAATACTCAGCGAGCCAAGCACACAGACAAACATACCAAGAATAATACTTAACTTAAAACCTATGGCATTGGTGGATCACGTTTGGATTGGTTGGAAGTAATTTACAAAACAGATCACAAAAAGTCGTCATTAATGGATACAGTTCCGATTATAAACCTGTACTTGCTGGCGTCCCACAAGGTTCCGTTTTGGGACCCTTACTTTTTATAAAAAGCCACATACGTTTATTTGCTGACGACACCTCACTTTACGTAATTGTAGATGATCGTGATACTGCCGCATCCTGTCTGAACGATGATTTAAACCTTATCTCTAGCTGGGCAGACAAGTGGCAAGTTACCTTCAAGTGTTTCTATTACATAAATGGTTTTAATATTCAATCTGTACAATGTGGAAGTTACTCATATTCTGACGAAATCAATGAAAATATTGTAAAATCTGTACATGACTATTTTACCTCAACAAAACGATTTTTTACCTAATTGATTAATTATACTACTGTCTTTTTCATTAAGTCATTAATGGTGTGTTCTCTTGTCTGTAATGATGAATGTATATAAATATTTCCCATCGCATTGCATTCGGAGAGGTATTTTTATAGGCTTATAGCCTGTTTACCAATCCGTCCATTCAATAATGAATAAATATTGTTTAAATCACCTTCAACCCTGATAAAACCGAAACAATCAATTTTTCTCGTAAACATAAAAACGACACGATTCCGACCTTGAACATGAACCAAACCCTGATACGAGAAGTGGAAAGTCCTAAACACCTGGGTATAACTCTACAGAGTGATTGTGGATGGAAAAGTCATATTGAAGATATTGTTAAGAAAGTTAGCACCATGATAAATTGTCTTCGAAGTTTTAAATATCGCCTCTCCAGAAAAACGCTAGAAACCATGTACAAATCGTTTGTGATGCCGATATTTGACTATTGTTGTCATATCTGGGATAATTGTACAAAGAATAATGCTCAGTGTTAATATGCAAGACAAACACACAGACAAACATACAAGAATAATACTCAATGTTAATATGCAAGACAAGCACATCGACAATGATCTACAATGTTAAAGTACAAGACAAGCACACCGACAATAATACACAATGTTAAAGTACAAGACAAGCACACCGACAATGATCTACAATGTTAAAGTACAAGACAAGCACACCGACAATGATCTACAATGTTAAAGTACAAGACGAGCACACCAACAATGATCAACAATGTTAAAGTATAAGACAAGCACACCAACAATAATCGTCAATGTTAATGTACAAGACAAGCACACCGACAATGATCAACAATGTTAAAGTATAAGACAAGCACACCAAGAATAATCGTCAGTGTTAAATTACAAGACAAGCACACCGACAATGATCAACAATGTTAAAGTATAAGACAAGCACACCGACAATAATCTACAATGTTAAAGTATAAGACAAGCACACCAACAATAATTGTCAGTGTTAATGTACAAGAGGGACTCACGAACAGGAACCGTCAGTGTTGACTTTTACCAACACCAACAGGCGAATGACAGAGCGTGGTAGGGGACGTAATGCAGTAATAGCTCTCTGTCACAACCAAGGAGGAATTCTTTCACGTGTATCGTCGGTGTGACGTCACTGAGTATTTTGAACGTGTAAGCTGTGTCACACAAGTTTGAGTCAGTATGAGTGAGGAACCGTCAGTGTTACTGTACAAGAGAGACTCACCAACAGGAACCGTCAGTGTTACTGTACAAGAGAGACTCACCGACAGGAACCGTCAGTGTTACTGAACAAGAGACTCAGTGTTACTGTACAAGAGACTCACCAACAGGAACCGTCCGTCAGTGTTACTGTACAAGAGAGACTCACCAACAGGAACCGTCAGTGTTACTGTACAAGAGAGACTCACCAACAGGAACCGTCAGTGTTACTGTACAAGAGAGACTCAGAGACTCACCAACAGGAACCGTCAGTGTTACTGTACAAGAGAGACTCACCAACAGGAACCGTCAGTGTTACTGTACAAGAGAGACTCACCAACAGGAACCGTCAGTGTTACTGTACAAGAGAGACTCACCAACAGGAACCGTCAGTGTTACTGTACAAGAGAGACTCACCAACAGGAACCGTCAGTGTTACTGTACAAGAGAGACTCACCAACAGGAACCGTCAGTGTTACTCAGTGTTACTGTAGAGAAGACTCACCAACAGGAACCGTCAGTGTTACTGTACAAGAGAGACTCACCAACAGGAACCGTCAGTGTTACTGTACAAGAGAGACTCACCAACAGGAACCGTCAGTGTTACTGTACAAGACAGACTCACCAACAGGAACCGTCAGTGTTACTGAACAAGACAGACAAGGAGAGTGTTACTGAACAAGACAGACTCACCAACAGGAACCGTCAGTGTTACTGTACAAGAGAGACTCACCAACAGGAACCGTCAGTGTTACTGTACAAGAGAGACTCACCAACAGGAACCATCAGTGTTACTGTACAAGAGAGACTCACCAACAGGAACCATCAGTGTTACTGTACAAGAGAGACTCACCAACAGGAACCGTCAGTGTTACTGTACCAGACAAACACACCGACAATAAACTCAAGTGTTATTGTACAAGACAATCCTACAATAACCCCTTTTCTTGAAAGTAGTTAAAATAATATGAAAATAGAAGTGTTTTGATTTCCCTCTCCGGAGCGTCTTTTTTAACATTTGTCTTATTCCTGATTGCGTTATTTCAATCAAAGACATTTCCTCCTTTCCTGTAAACTCACAAAAGTCTGTATTTTTGTTCCACTCCCATCGTTGTTGGAAACCAGATCTCTCACTGAGGAAACTTTGAACACGCCGCGCAACATGTGCCTGCCACCGAGCGCGGCAGACTCTGCCAGGCGTATTGCGACAATATGGCTAAATAAACGCGTTGTGGAAAGCAGATTTAAGGTTAAAATGTCTTGGAATACAACCTGTTAACAATGTACCAGGTCACACTACGGGCTTCAGTCAGGAAATTGACAACACACGTGACCTAATCTCGCGTTAAACGAGATATTGACAGAAACGGTCTTGAATTGCAAGTTCCACAGTGTGGCGGCAGTTGGCCATGGTAGACGTGTTTACTGACTCTGTATGCTCGGTGTAGCGGGCTCCAGGCTTGTGTCACACTCATGTGGATTAATCAACATATATAGGTAAGTGAATCTGTTACTGTCCTCTTATTGCAGACATATATTGACAATGGACGTTTTATAGCTGTATAGTTGTTGACAACACCAACAGGCGAGTGGTAGAGCGTGGTGGGGGACGTAATGCAGTAATAGCTCTCTGTCACAACCAAGGAGGAATTCTTTCACGTGTATCGTCGGTGTGACGTCACTGAGTATTTTGAACGTGTAAGCTGTGTCACACAAGTTTGAGTCAGTATGAGTGAGCTCACTTGCATGAGTGAGTGAGGTAGTTTGATTTAACGTCAGATTCATCAGTTTTCCTTGTCACGAGTCCTTCATCTCATACCGGACAAAGGGCCGAAGTGATACAGTGAAGGGGTTTCCCCCACTACTACGGCGATATACAGACACAGCGCTCCCTAGAACCGACTCCATACAAATCAGGAAACAAACGGTTTGTTTGGAGGTGAAAGGTTGTTAACGTGTTCTGTTGTGGGAGGGAGTTCATTTGTTACTTCCCCTGGCCACACGTGATCATGACGTCATTCACAAAGGACAGATAGCTGGTTCGTTAAGTTAAATATTTACACGTCAGATCTCTGAGCAGGACAAGTGTTAGATCCACATCTGCTCGAGTTTCAATATATACAGTATACTTAGTAATCAATGACAATGGATAATCGTGAGAGAACATATTTGGAAAATATATACATCCTTGAATGCACTGGGCAACTTTGCGCTTGGGTTAATGCACTTGGCAGATGGTGCACTTAAGTTCTTTAAGCTGTACTTTACTTTGCTTCAGTCAGATCTGTCACTTGATGACATCACTTCAACGCTTCAAGAGTCATGAACAAACTTAAATATTCACGTTTTATGAATAGGTTGTTTCCTGCCAAGATCAGGGTTAGGAAAGTGTTTATGAGCAGGCCCATGTGACAGTCTCAACGAGCACATGTGTGTATCAGGTCGTGGGTATAGGTGAAAGGAGTCCCGAGACGGGCTTTCGCCCAGCTGTGAAACTGATTATTAAAGCAATTATCATAAAAATCTACACATACTGGCGCTCGCTATGTGTCTCAGTCCATGTATCGGGGACGCTGGTGCCCGCCGTGTGTCTCAGTCCATGTAGTGGGGATGCTGGTGCTCTTGTGTGCCTCAGTCCAGGTTTTGGGGATGCAGGTTCTCGTCGTATGCCTCAGTCCATGTAGTGGGGATGCTGATGCTCGTTGTGTGTCTCAGTCCATGTTTTGGGGATGCTGGTGCCCGCTGTGTGTCTCAGTCCATGTAGTGGGGATGCGGGTGCCCGCTGTGTATCTCAGTCCATGTAGTGGGGATGCTGGTGCTCTTGTGTGTCTCAGTCCATGTAGTGGGGATGCTGGTGCGCGTTGTGTGTCTCAGTCCATGTTTTGGGGATGCTGGTGCCCGCTGTGTGTCTCAGTCCATGTATTGGGGATGCAGGTTCTCGTTGTGTGTTTCAGTCCATGTATATGGGATGCAGGTGCTCGTTGTGTGTCTCAGTCCATGTATATGGGATGCAGGTGCTCGTTGTGTGTCTCAGTCCATGTAGCGGGGATGCAGGTTCTCGTTGTGTGTCTCAGTCCATGTATTGGGGATGCAGGTGCCCGCCGTGTGTCTCAGTCCATGTATTGGGGATGCTGGTGCCCGCTGTGTGTCTCAGTCCATGTAGTGGGGATGCTGGCGCTCGTTGTGTCTCAGCAGTTATACAGTGGATCCTTCGACTCGCTATGTTTACCTGTAATGACGTCAATCAATAGCAGTGTTGTCCCAGTTCCGACAGGGGGAGATGGGTGCTAGCACGTCCCGCGTGTGCTGGTAACATCTGTCATTATTGCTAACTCGAGGGCCTGTCTAAAATCAATGGAGTAATTACGTTTCAATTACGAGAATTTGCTGTCGGATTTACCTATGATTTCTGTTGTTCTGCCTTGGAACAGCTGTGGCGATCAAATGAATTACAACAATCAAGGTCGTTAATGTACGGATTTCAGGGCGTCCTGTCCTTAGAACTGGGATGTTGGGGCGATGGTGCAGAGGGTGGATGGTGGGGTGGTGGGTGTTCTATTGAAGCATAAAGACTGTCGTAGTCCTTGTTCCATTGAAGCATACAGACTGTCGTTGTCCTTGTTGAGTTGAAGCACAAAGACTGTCATAGTTCTTGTTGAGTTGAAGCATACAGACTGTCGTTGTCCTTGTTCAGGTGAAGCATACAGACTGTCGTTGTCCTTGTTCAGGTGAAGCATACAGATTGTTGTTGTCCTTGTTCAGTTGAAGCATACAGGCTGTCGTTGTCCTTGTTCAGGTGAAGCATACAGATTGTTGTTGTCCTTGTTCAGGTGAAGCATACAGACTGTCGTTGTCCTTGTTCAGTTGAAGCATACAGATTGTTGTTGTCCTTGTTCAGTTGAAGCATACAGACTGTCGTTGTCCTTGTTCAGTTGAAGCATACAGACTGTTGTTGTCCTTGTTCAGTTGAAGCATACAGACTGTCGTTGTACTTGTTCAGTTGAAGCATACAGACTGTCGTTGTCCTTGTTCAGGTGAAGCATACAGACTGTCGTTGTCCTTGTTCAGGTGAAGCATACAGACTGTCGTAGTCCTTGTTCAGTTAAAGCATACAGGATGCTGTAGTCCTTGTTCAGTTGAAGCATACAGACTGTTCTAGACCTTGTTCAGTTAAAGCATACAGGATGCTGTAGTCCTTGTTCAGTTGAAGCATACAGACTGTTGTTGTCCTTGTTCAGTTGAAGCATACAGACTGTCGTAGTCCTTGTTCAGTTGAAGCATACAGACTGTCGTTGTCCTTGTTCAGTTGAAGCATACATACTGTCGTTGTCCTTGGTCCATAGAAGCATACAGACTGTCGTAGTCCTTGTTCAGTTGAAGCATACAGACTGTCGTAGTCCTTGTTCAGTTGAAGCATACAGACTGTCGTTGTCCTTGTTCAGTTGAAGCATACAGACTGTCGTAGTTCTTGTTCAGTTGAAGCATACAGACTGTCGTTGTCCTTGTTCAGTTGAAGCATACAGACTGTCGTATTCCTTGTTCAGTTGAAGCATACAGACTGTCGTAGTCCTTGGTCCATAGAAGCATACAGACTGTCGTAGTCCTTGTTCAGTTGAAGCATACAGACTGTCGTATTCCTTGTTCAGTTGAAGCATACAGACTGTCGTTGTCCTTGTTCAGTTGAAGCATACAAACTGTCATAGTGCTTGTTCAGTTGAAGCATACAGACGGTTGTTGTCCTTGTTCATTTGAAGCATACAGACTGTCGTTGTCCTTGTTGAGTTGAAGCATGCAGACTGTAAGAGTCCTTGTTGAGTTGAAGCATACAGACTGCCGTTGTCCTTGTTCAGTTGAAGCATACAGACTGTCATAGTGCTTGTTCAGTTGAAGCATACAGACTGTCGCAATCCTTGTTCATTTGAAGCATACAGACTGTCGTTGTCCTTGTTCAGTTGAAGCATACAGACTGTCGTTGTCCTTGTTGAGTTGAAGCACAAAGACTGTCATAGTTCTTGTTGAGTTGAAGCATACAGACTGTCGTTGTCCTTGTTCAGGTGAAGCATACAGACTGTCGTTGTCCTTGTTCAGGTGAAGCATACAGATTGTTGTAGTCCTTGTTCAGGTGAAGCATACAGACTGTCGTTGTCCTTGTTCAGGTGAAGCATACTGATTGTTGTTGTCCTTGTTCAGTTGAAGCATACAGACTGTCGTTGTCCTTGTTCAGTTGAAGCATACAGACTGTTGTTGTCCTTGTTCAGTTGAAGCATACAGATTGTCGTTGTCGTTGTTCAGTTGAAGCATACAGACTGTCGTTGTCCTTGTTCAGTTGAAGCATACAGACTGTCGTTGTCCTTGTTCAGGTGAAGCATACAGACTGTCGTAGTCCTTGTTCAGTTAAAGCATACAGACTGCTGTAGTCCTTGTTCAGTTGAAGCATACAGACTGTTCTAGACCTTGTTCAGTTAAAGCATACAGACTGTCGCAGTCCTTGTTCAGTTGAAGCATACAGACTGTCATAGTCCTTGTTCAGGTGAAGCATACACACTGTCGTAGTTCTTGTTCAGTTGAAGCATACAGACTGTCGTTGTCCTTGTTCAGTTGAAGCATACAGACTGTCGTATTCCTTGTTGAGTTGAAGCATACAGACTGTCGTAGTCCTTGGTCCATAGAAGCATACAGACTGTCGTAGTCCTTGTTCAGTTGAAGCATACAGACTGTCGTATTCCTTGTTCAGTTGAAGCATACACACTGTCGTTGTCCTTGTTCAGTTGAAGCATACAAACTGTCATAGTGCTTGTTCAGTTGAAGCATACAGACGGTCGCAATCCTTGTTCATTTGAAGCATACAGACTGTCGTTGTCCTTGTTGAGTTGAAGCTTGTATGCAGACTGTAAGAGTCCTTGTTGAGTTGAAGCATACAGACTGCCGTAGTCCTTGTTCAGTTGAAGCATACAAACTGTCATAGTGCTTGTTCAGTTGAAGCATACAGACTGTCGCAATCCTTGTTCATTTGAAGCATACAGACTGTCGTTGTCCTTGTTCAGTTGAAGCATACAGACTGTCGTTGTCCTTGTTCAGTTGAAGCACAAAGACTGTCATAGTTCTTGTTGAGTTGAAGCATACAGACTGTCGTTGTCCTTGTTCAGGTGAAGCATACAGACTGTCGTTGTCCTTGTTCAGGTGAAGCATACAGATTGTTGTTGTCCTTGCTCAGGTGAAGCATACAGACTGTCGTTGTCCTTGTTCAGGTGAAGCATACAGATTGTTGTTGTCCTTGTTCAGTTGAAGCATACAGACTGTCGTTGTCCTTGTTCAGTTGAAGCATACAGACTGTTGTTGTCCTTGTTCAGTTGAAGCATACAGATTGTCGTTGTCGTTGTTCAGTTGAAGCATACAGACTGTCGTTGTCCTTGTTCAGGTGAAGCATACAGACTGTCGTTGTCCTTGTTCAGGTGAAGCATACAGACTGTCGTAGTCCTTGTTCAGTTAAAGCATAC